AACTTTGCTTAATACTTAAAGCCAGGAAACAGGTTAGGACTCTGAATAGTAGATACATGGACCTGTCCACAATTTGAGAAAAGACAAAACTCCTTAACACTGGAAAATAAAGCATAAGTCAGTAATGTTCTAGTCAAAAGTCATAAATTCTATTTCACCAGTTCAAGCTCATGTACTTTATCTTCTGCTGTGGTCCAATCTCTCTGTTTAAATTCGGATAATATTCAACCCTGTACCTGCCCCTACCATTAAACTGGCCATTTTCTTAAGTTGGCCATTTTTTTAGAACTCTTATTTCTGTGTCTGATTAGTTTTCCTGGGATAGCACTCCCTTCAGAACTTCTTGGAGAGCTGGTCTGGTGTTGGTAAATTCTTTCAGGTTTTGTTTATCTGAGAATGTTCTTGTCTTCTCTTCCCATGTGAAGGATAATCTTGCCAGGTATAGTGTTCTTGGTTGAAATTGTTTTTCTCTCAACACTTTGAATATATTTTCCCATTCTTTCCTTGTTTGCGTTGTTTTTGATGAGAGGTCTGCTGTTAGCCTGATGGGATATCCTTTGTATGTAACAATATTTCTCTCTTGCCAGTTCGAGTATCTTGTCTTTGTCTGTGGTTTTGGTCATTCTGGCTATAATGTGTCTTGGAGAAGATCTTCTTTGGTTGATCCTATTTGGGGTTCTTTGTATTTTTTGGATCTGGATCTTTGAATGACTTCCAGCTTTGGGAAGTTTTCTTCCAGGATTTCATGGAATAGATTGTCAATGCCCTTATTAGTCTCTTCACCTTCTGGGATACCAATTATCTGGATGTTTAGATGTTTAATGGTATCTAGTATTTCTCGTATATTATTCTCATTTTGGGGGGCAATTTTCTCAGTCTTCATGGTGGATTTTACTAGTCCAGCGATCCTGTCTTCTACATCTAAGATTAGATTTTCTGTATGATCTAGTCTGCTTTTAATATTTTCAAAGGAGGTTTTGACTTCCTGTATTGTATCCTTCATCTCCAACAGTTTCATTTGACTCTTTCTTATGGTGTGTATTTCCTTTTTCAACTCTTGCAAGAAATTTCTCCCCTCCTGAGACTCATTGGCTTTTTTCTTCTGGTGTTCATTGACCCTCTTTTCTTCTATCTCTTTTAGTTTTGTCATGACTACTTTAAATTCTTTATCAGACATTTCCATGATTTCCATTGTACTGTCTGTGGATGAAGAGGAATTATTCTTTTCCCTTGGGGGTGAGGTATTTTCTTAGTTTCACATATTTCTTGTGACCTTGTGGTGATTTCTAGTCATCTGATGGGTTATCTATTTCTTCCTAATTTCTAGAAGATCAATCTGAGCTATCAGAGTTGCACAGGAGGATGTGGTCTGCAAACTCATTGCTGTTGCGATTTTTCTCACTTTGTGATGCAGATTCTGTGGGAGTTAAGGAATATGAGGACCCAAATAGTATGCAGATTTTGGCAACTTTTCATTTAGGCTTGTCTAGACAGTCAGTAGGTAGAAGCTGAGCAGCAAAATGATGAGGTAAAAGAAAACGGATAAGAAAACAGAGGGAAAAAAGAGAGGAAAATGGATAAAGCAAACAAAAAATTATTTGCTAATTATAAAAAGCAAAAAAATGAAAACTATGTGGTGCACAATGCGCCACACAAAATCACTAGATCTCAGCTGTCATGGCGGACTCAGTCTTCTTCTGGCCTTCCTTTTTTTTGCCTAGATGGGAAGGGGAAAGAAGAAGCGATTATTACCAAGATAAAGGAGGATTTCGGAGCCAAGAAAATACTTTACCTTAAAAAAATTTTTAAAAAGAAAATTTTTTAAAAAATAAAAAGACAGAGACAGAAATGCAGAAACAGTCAGAGAGAGACAGAGAGAAGAAGACAGGGCCTCTACCAGGGTAGATTCTCAGCAGAACATCTTCATTGTTCTTATCTCTGAAATCACTAGATCGAAGATACTATTTTTTTAAATAATTATTTTATTTATTTATTTATTTATTTTAATTTGACCAGAGAGGGACATAGAGAGAGAGAGAGAGAGAGAGAGAGAGAGAGAAAGTGAAAGCAAGCCACCAGGTCCGGGACTCGAACCACAGTTGGCCATGTGGGAGTCCAGCATCCTTAACCACCATGCCACCTGCCAGCCCCATTGAAGACACTATTTTCAAAAATATTTTGGCTTCATTACCATTGCTTGCCTTAAACACTTTGCTGTATGGGAATAGCTGAGATTCTTCTATCTGGGAAGCTATTGAAAACATTTCGTTACTTCCCAGGAACCCTGACAGAGGATGGGACTCAGAAGATGTTTGACAAGCAACATGTGCTGCTCTTTGCCGTGTTTGATGAGAGCAAGAGCTGGAGTCCGTCGTCCTCGCTAATGTACACAGTCAACGGCTACGTGAATGGGACGATGCCAGGTAACGAGAGCTGTGCACCGTCCAGCACTAGGATTGTTGGGTCCCTGTTGTTTTCTTCCAGGAACTGGGGAAGTTGCCCGTGCTGTTTCAACTGTCAAGCAGAAACGTAATGTAATCATTACTGCTTCCAACTTGGGATCAGAAAAATAGTGTACTCAAATGAATGGTTCTCAAGATTTTATCATCTCTTTTTTAAAAAAACAAAAACAAAAACAAAAACAAAACTGGGAAGTACAACAGACAAAGTGTAATCTAGCCAGAGAAGGAACATGCAGTCTTGTTAGGTGTCGTGCTCTGAGCAGGCTTTTCTTTGGCCTGCACCTCTAAGGGGACCTCCAGACTATCAGCTCAGACTCCCTCAGTGAGTCCTGTGGTCCCTGTCACATGGCGACCGTGTCTTCTCCATACAGGAGTCCTACAGGAACAAAGCTCAAAGTCAATCCCTAGCAGAAAGGGTCAGCAGAGTTAATGCAACAAAGACACTTTCAATGAAGACCAGAAAGGAGATAAAGTACTTAAAAACTCAAAAGTGCTGGTAGCATTTACAGGTGATGGGGGTCATATTTGATGGCATGTGGGACATTTTTCTCTTTCCACATGCATGTAGAATGGCGTGGGAAAGCAAAAGCGTAGGAACTGCTCAGTGGGAAAAGCAAGCTGGAGGCCCAGCTGGACCAGCTCTTCTGCTCCTCTGGGTAAACTGACTTAGAACTAAGGACCCAGGGTACATAGCACCAGTGCTGAGGAAAAAATGTGAAGGTACGATTATTCCCATATTTCAAAACACTGCACTTCTCAGTCACTCTCTCTGCAAAAAAAAAAAAAAAAAAAAAGTCACAAATGGCTTCACTTAGTAAAGAACAGGATGGTTAAGAGAGGAAGCCTGCGTATTACTTTCAATTCTATTCCTTTGACTCTCTTCGACGTGAGTCGTTAAAGACAACGCTCGTGAGACTCTGGGAATTGATGCTTAGCTTGCAGACCTCTACCTTGGGAGATGTGAAGTCCAACACTCACTCACTTCTCTACTTCAGTGTGGCCCTAGCCAATTAGTTGTCTATGTGCTCATGTACAAATATAGGTTTAACAAAAGATCCTAAAATTTGTTTCTTGGCAGAGTGACAATCCATGTAAATATATGGAAGCCCAAAAAGGCAAAACCATATGCACAAAAATAAAAATGAAAAACTTGATTGAAACAGAGTTTATTAATTTATAGTTGAATAATTAGGGATAAAAGAGAGAGGTTAGAGAAGCATCATTCAGAGAAACTGAGGCTAGTTCAAGCTTATAAACCCTCCTAGGGAGCAGTAAAAATGGAGTAACCATGGTAAATGCTAAGACGGATAGGCTAACTGCTGAATTCCACATGAGCATTTTTTTTTTCTTTAGATTTTTGCCATAGGGTTCATGCACTCACCAGAAAGAGAGAGACAATGAGAAGGAAAGTGAGAAATTATCTCCCAGGGTGATGGCCACACCACGATCCTTCTTCTTCTGGGATTTTAGGCATGTACTCACACGTGCCCACCATGGTTTTCAAACTACCAGATTGAGGACTCAAACCATGGTCAATGATGTGGGAGTCCAGCACCTTAAGCACTATGCCACCTGCTGGCTCCCATGTAAGCATTTCTAAAGGATGAATAAATGCTTCTACCAAAGCCTCTTGCCTTCTAGCTTCTTGTTCTCCCAGTTGACAGAACCACCACCTGGTTACATGGTCTCTTAGCAAAGACAAGTGCCCGTGAGGAGCTGATTTTCAGCCCCACTGTCAAAGAGCTAACGATCCCAGATCTGGAATTTAAAACTCCAGCCAAAGAGACAGGCAGCACTAGAGTTTTCCACGAATGAACACTTTCTCCACCACTGTGGGGGCAAAGATTGAGCAAAGCGAACCTTGGTGTCTGCTCTCGTTGCTGCCATCCACAGAAATCCCCAGACCCAGGAGGATGCGCCAGTCCCCTTCATTTTAAGATTGTGTTTTAACAAACAGTAATGCATTCCAAAAAGTGGGTAAAGAAGCAACAGAAAATGCCCTCCATGCAGCTGAGAGGACAAGGCCCTGGAGCTCAACCCTGCCAGAGGTTCTGGTGGCTCCCCCGGCTGGGACCAGGTGGGTGTGCCTCTGCACCCCCTTCTGCAGAGGTTTACCGGCTCTAACACTGAGCATCCTGCACCCTGGGAAACCGCTCAGGTCTGGACAAACCAACCGGCCAATTCCAGCACGGTTCCCTCCTTACCAGTCCCTGGGTCTGGGGGCTCACTTCCCCCACCTCCAGGCCCTGTTCTTAGCTCTCTGATGCTGATTATCGCAATGAGTTGCGAATGCTTGTTTGTGTTACTCACAGATCTGCCCTCACACAGCAGGTACCACAGCTCGGGCATCTGATTCCACAGAACCCTACACAGTGCCTGAGGCACAGCAGGTAGTCAGGGAGTATGTGGTGAGTGAACTGGGACCACAGCCCTGGGCTCAGTACCTGCTTTGGCCTCCTCTCTCTCCCTCGCCTCTCTTTCTCAGAGCTCGTGGTCTGTGCCCATGACCACATCAGCTGGCACCTGATTGGAATGAGCTCTGGGCCAGAACTATTCTCCATCCACTTCAACGGCCAGGTCTTGGAGCAGAACCACCACAAGGTGTCCACCGTCACCCTCGTCAGCGCCACGTCCACCACTGCAAACATGACCGTGAGCCCAGAGGGAAAGTGGATCATAGCCTCTCTCATCCCAAAGCATTTCCAAGGCAAGAAACTCTCTGACAGAATTGCCTCTGCATGTAGGATCCTTTCTTCCCTGGCTCCAACTCCCTTCTCCTTTGCACTTTGAAGACACACCCCACCCAGATGTATACATTCTGTCTCTGACGATGGAATTTAGGTACTCTGACCTTAGATTTACAGCTCATCAGTTGGGGTTGGAGGAAGTGGAGGAATTGACAAAGTTTTGTTTTATTATTTATTATTATTATTATATTAAATGAAGCAAAAGCTGCAGAGGTCTTACTTCTTTGAAAAGAGAAAAGAGGAAGGAAACATGTATACATAGAGGTATTCTTTTGCAGGGTATTTCATATGATGTAAAGGAAAAGAGCTAGATGCTTGAACAAGACAGATAGCCGTGAATTTGTAGAAGCGCTGAGTGACAGCAAGATCAAGAGTTAGTTGTGACATGAAAAGACGGCATTTTCCAGTGAGATGAGCACAAAGCCCAGCACACAGAACTCAGGGACAGCGTAGTCTGTAGTATCTAAACAGCGGGGGTGCGCATTTCAGAGAGCCCCGGTGGACTCAGGAGGGGAAAGCACCATCTCGGGCTCTTACGCAGTGTCATGCAGACCAATCGTCGTTCCGCTGCACACTGTTGCTTTAACATTGTTGAGAGGTGGGTTCATGTACAGAGAGTAGGAGTTAAGTCAATATATGACTATAGGAAATCAGACTCTTACCGAAAGGATGTGTTTAAGCAGCCCGCAGGAGGAAGAGCTACTTCGTGGTATCTCTTCGTCTTCCTTTCAAACAGCAGTCGAAATTGTACTTGAAGTAATGAAATGATCGTGGTGTCTCTGGATGATAGGGTTTCTAATGACAACACAACTGACATATATCAAGGAGAAATGCTTTATGTATTTTTATTTAACTACAATTTCATAAGAAAGTACTAGTGTTGTTTTCATTTCAAAGAAAAGGAACAGATAATAGGAAACATGAGGTTTCAACAAGGCCAGAGTCATAGGGTTTTGAGGTTCTGAAACGATAGGAAATCGTCCTGCTGCAGAAGAGACAAAGAGGAATATTTCCAAATTTTTCCTCTGTTTTTCCCTTTCCCCTGCTTTTTATTCTTGCTCCCTTCTGTACTCCAATGAAAGAGTTTCAAACCAAAATATGCATTAAGTCACCTTGGATTGCTCTGTTACATAAACCTTCAACAAACTCATGTAAAAGATGTGTTCTTTGATCAAGTGAAGCCCTTCTCACGGGCTCGGTCATGTCCTTATGCCCTCACACAGCTGGAATGCAGGCTTACATTGACATTAAAAACTGCCCGAAGAAAACCAGGAACATCAAGAAACTAACTCGTGACCAGAGGCGGCATATTAAGAGGTGGGAATACTTCATTGCTGCAGAGGAAGTCATCTGGGACTACGCACCTGTAATACCAGCGAATATGGACAAGTAAGTCCCTGGGTGCAGAGCACTCTGTGAAGGTCCAATGTTCCCCTGGGTGGTAGTATGTCTGGGGTTGGGGAATGGTGGTGAAATGTCATGAGTGGACAACTCTCAAGGGAATCCATGCACTGATTTCCATTCAGATCATCTTGTCCAGCTCAATCTTGAATTACCCCAAACCCACCAAGGAATTCAGCCTAGTAATAACCCAGCAACAACTACCACTTCAGTTCTTGCTGTTGTCAAGCACCGTATTGGACCCTCTTGGCTTCATTTCAATTCTGCAACATAAACCTCTTATTTTATTTCGTTTTCTTATTTTTAATTTATCTAAATTTTTTTTTTATTATTTTAGCTTTTGCTAAAGGGCGCATGCACTTGCCAGAGAAAGACAGAGAAAGAAGGAAAGTCCTAGGGGGATGGCCATGCCACAATTCCTTCTTATCTATTTTCCTCTTGAGCTTTTGGGCATACATGCTCACACACTGGGCATGTTTTCCAAGCTGCTGGGTCTGGGACTCAAACCACAGTCAGCCATGTGAGATCCAGCCTCCTTAACCACCATGCCACCTGACTGTCCCATCTTTGTCTACTTTTTTGTTTTGTTTTTGTAGATGAGGAAATGTGTCAGAGAGATTAAGAAATTTGGAAATTCAAATAGCCCTTAAATACCTGAAAAGATACTCAAGTTCACTCATTGCTGCGCTAATGGTAGTAGTAACAAAGAGTTAGGGACAACCCAAGAATACTCATCAGTAGGAAACTAGTTCAATAAACTATGGTATAGCCGTACAATGAACTACTATGCATCTGTGAAAAATAAAGTGGCAAACATTCTCTGTATGCTAATATAAAAAAACTTCATGATATTTTGTTAAATTAAAAAATCAAAGTATAGTACAGAGTATATAAATAGCTGCTCTTTGTTAAAGGAATGTGGGAAGAGGAATATTTATATTTGCTTATTAACAAGTCATATATGCATATATTTGCAGATATATTCTGTAATGATATACAGAAAATTAATAGTTATATTAAAAAATTTGAGGGCTGTTTGGGTCAGGCTTAGGGGATATTGGGTATAAGAGTTTTCACTATAATCAAAATCATGTAAATGTACTTTACTATTCAAGAAATTAAACTATTAGGTTGTCAGAAAAGTCATGACACATTTTTGTCATGAAAAAGCAAAAAAGAAACTTGGCCAAATCTAAGCGCAGAACTTCTAAGCAGAAGGGTTTCCCCATCTACTGGAGACTATTTCAGAAAGTGGCTGAATTTTTGTTTTTCATTTTACTTAAAGAAAATACAGGTCTCTGCACTTGGACAATTTCTCAAACCAAATTGGAAAACAATATAAGAAAGTTGTTTATAAACAGTACCAAGATGAGACCTTCACCAAACGCATGGAGAATCAAAATAACGAAGAATATGGGATTCTGGGCCCTATCATCAGAGCCCAGGTCAGAGACACACTCAAAGTAAGTAACAGAAACACAGCTGGAGAAAAAATTGTATAGTGAAAGATCACAGAGTCCCTGATTGCTTATTTTTTAAAAGGAAAAGGGGTCCACATTATTTGAAATTCAAATGCAGCTTTTATCTTTTATTTAGTACTTTAATTTTATTTATAGCTTACTCAATAATACAAAGGTTCTGAGATAGTTATCAAATTATGAAGAAATAAAACAGAGTTGATATAATTGGAGCAAAGGATGATATGAAGACAAAGAGAACAAAGCCACTGGGGCTGTAGCACAGTGGTTAAAGGAGATGGATCCCACATGGCTAATCATGGCTCAAATCCCAGCCTTCAGTGACTTGAAAAGCATGCCAGGTGCATGTGCACGTGGATGTGTATCCAAAATCCTAATGGGTTAGAGAAATAAAGGAAAAAGGATTGCAGTGTGACCACACACCACTGGGAGGTGCTGTCTCTCTGTGTCTCTCTTTCTCTTTTGAGAGAGCACATGCACCCTCTAGCATTTAAAAAGAAAAAAAGGCTTAAATAAATATCATGAAATGCATACCGTATGATCCTAACAGGCTATCTGCAAATTTGGCAAACCTTCACAGTATCTATAATAAAAAAGGAAATATGTCAGACAAGATTTATAGCACCTATAGGGACCAGCAGTTGGCGTAATGGCTATGTAGCTGGACTCCCATGTAGTCGACCGTGGTTCAAGTCCTAGACCCAGTGGCTTAAACTCACACTGGGTGCATGTACGTGTGAGCCCAAGATGAGTGGAGGAGAAGGGATTATAGCATGGCCATCCTCCCGGGGGGGTGATTTCTAAGACCTGCAAGGAATTTCTTCCATGGATCCTTCAAAAGAAGATGCTGTGTGATACAGTAGGTAGCATCCTTATTAAATCCCTATGACTATTACAATAGATTCTAAAAGTGGCATAGTTCTTTATTATCATCATCATTGTTATTATAACTTGCTATCAGCTTCTACAGGTCTTGGAATTTTTTTCCATTTTATTTTATAATTTCTTTTTTATACTGTCTTATTTTATAATTTCTTATTTACATTTAATTGTACATCTTTGTGGGGCACAACATGGATTTCCAGAGCATATATGCTGTGTGTGACAATCTAATAAAAGATAATACCATACCTATTGTTCTCAACAAGAACATTACGTTTGAGATATGTAAGAACAGCAATGTCTGGGTTTTTTTTACTTAGTTGTGGTATGCCATTCCACAACCCATTTGCCCATCAAACTGCATTCCTTTGTCTGCAAAATGCTTTTTTCTTGGTCTTCTCCTCTCTCCTCACTCTCATGTAACCTTCAGTATCTACCATTTTCCTGTCCATTTCTATGCCTGCAAATCTTTCCATTTCTGCTACAGAGTGCAAATATCGTATATACTGAGTGAGGACACACTGTGCTTGTCCTTCATAGACTGACTTATTTCCCTTAGCATTGCATCTTCTTCTTCTTTATGGCCGAATAGTATTCCATTGCATATATGTGCACAAGTTTTTAAATCCAGTCGTCGGTTGTTGGACATTTAGGCTGATTCCATGCCTTAGCTACTGGAAATGCTGCAATAAACACAGATGTGCAGGTATCTTTCTGACTGATTTCCTGTCCTTTGAGTAAATGCCCAGGAGTGTAATTCCTGGGCATATGGTAGTTTTATTTGGAAATTTCTGAGGAATCTCCATATTGATTTCGATAGTGGCTGTACTATTTTACATTCCCAGCAATACTTCAGGAGGGCTCTGTTCACCATAGCCTCTCCAGCACCTGTTCTTTGTGTTTTGGATCATAGCTATTCAGACTGGGGTTAGGTGATACCTCATTGTGATCTGTACCTGATCTGCACTTCCCTTATGACGAAAGATGATGAACATTTTTCATATGCTTTTTGGCTATTTGTTGTCTTTGAGAGCTGTCTGTTGAGATCAATTGCCCGTTTTAAAAACTGGATTATTAGTTTTTCTGCTGGTAAGCTGCTTCACTTCCCTCTATATTCTGTTATTGAGCACCTATATGAAGTATATTTGCAAATACTTTCTCCTGTGGGCTGATAATAAATAATAATAATTTATTATTACCTTTGCTGTGTAGAGTTTTAGTTTGACATAATCCTACTTTATTTTTAGAATTGCTGGCTGTGCTTTAGGGGTCTTGCTTAAAGAAATCTTTGTCTATTCCAAAGTCTTCAAGTGTTTCCCCTGTGTTTTCTGCAAGTGTTTTATAGCTTGATGCTTTACATTTAGATCTTTGATTCATTTTAAGTTGACTTCCATCAACAGTAAGAGATAGGCATCTAAAAATCCAAATGGCAGGAACCCTCCCAAATTCATTACATGAAGCCTCCAAAACTTGGATTTTTTTTTTTCATTTTTCCACAGGTGGATATCCAGTTTTTTCCAGCACCATTTGTTGAAAATACTTTCCTTTCTCCACTGCATCATCTTGTGCCCTTTGCAAAAAATCAGTAGGCTGTATGTTTTGGGGTTTATTTCTAAATTCTCTATTCTGTTCCACTGGTCTATGTGTTTGTTTTGTGCCAGTACCATGTTGTTTTGATTATCACAGCTCTGTAACACATTCTTAGGGCAAGCAGTGCAATGCCTCTAACCTTATTCTTTTGGCACAGTGCAATGCCTCTAACCTTCTCTCTCTCTCTTTTTTTTTCTTTTTCTTTTATTTATTTTTGCATTTTTCCACAAACATTTACTTTACATATCCAAAAACTTTTGCTCATACTCCATTGTTCTTGACAGTTAATAAACAACTTTCAAAATTTCAAGATACTGAATTTTAAAGATAATGTTCAAAATATTTCTTATAATCTTGTGTAATTTTGTTTGTGACTCTTTAACAACAGAGACAGTACGGTTTTAAATATTTTTGAGAAAATATTTACATGTCAAGTATTCAAATTGCTGAAAAGGAAACACCCAGCACACAGTTCACACATAGACCTTCTCAGTTCAGCCCTGCCTACCAAGTATTCTGTGATATGCCATCTGCCAGCAAAGATCGGTCTCTTTTTCTTCCTTCAGTGTCATTCTCAAGATAATCCTCTGGTGTGGTTGCTCTTTTGTAATCTCTACTGATTACAATGCTGAGCTGGAAAAGCCCTGGTTACTTTATGTTACAAATTCTTTCATATGTTTTTTCTAATCCTCTCTGCCAGGCAGAACTATTTATGGTGTCAGGCTATCTTTCTAAGAGCTTCTGTTGACTTATTTGCGATCCATCTTAGTTTCATAATTTCCTGATTAATCTTTAGATAAGACATTCCAGTCAAAGCCCTCTCCAATAATGAGTATTTTCAATTTCTGATTCAATGCAACAAGCATTACTGATTTTATACAAATAACCCTTTTGCCACAAAATAAGAATACTCCCAAATATTTTCAATTCCAGAGGGGTCAGAAAGGAAGAAAAGTTTGTTTCCATTTAAAGAAGTGAACAAGAAAAATATTTTAACAAATTGCTGAACCTATCAACAACTCAGAAGAAAGTAAAATGCTTAAATTGGGAAAACAAAGCATAGTAAAGAAACATCAGGAATGTTTTATTCAAAAGTTATAAAATTCTATTTCTCCAGTTCAGTCTTATGTTCAGACTCTCTTCTGTTGAATATGCAGTGTTGCTATGGTCCAATCTTTCTGTTTAAATCCTGGAAGGTAACATTCAATGTTATTATTGATATTTCTTGTCAATTGCCCGTTTTAAAAACTGGATTATTAGTTTTTCTGCTGGTAAGCTGCTTCACTTCCCTCTATATTCTGTTATTGAGCACCTATATGAAGTATATTTGCAAATACTTTCTCCTGTGGGCTGATAATAAATAATAATAATTTATTATTACCTTTGCTGTGTAGAGTTTTAGTTTGACATAATCCTACTTTATTTTTAGAATTGCTGGCTGTGCTTTAGGGGTCTTGCTTAAAGAAATCTTTGTCTATTCCAAAGTCTTCAAGTGTTTCCCCTGTGTTTTCTGCAAGTGTTTTATAGCTTGATGCTTTACATTTAGATCTTTGATTCATTTTAAGTTGACTTCCATCAACAGTAAGAGATAGGCATCTAAAAATCCAAATGGCAGGAACCCTCCCAAATTCATTACATGAAGCCTCCAAAACTTGGATTTTTTTTTTTCATTTTTCCACAGGTGGATATCCAGTTTTTTCCAGCACCATTTGTTGAAAATACTTTCCTTTCTCCACTGCATCATCTTGTGCCCTTTGCAAAAAATCAGTAGGCTGTATGTTTTGGGGTTTATTTCTAAATTCTCTATTCTGTTCCACTGGTCTATGTGTTTGTTTTGTGCCAGTACCATGTTGTTTTGATTATCACAGCTCTGTAACACATTCTTAGGGCAAGCAGTGCAATGCCTCTAACCTTATTCTTTTGGCACAGTGCAATGCCTCTAACCTTCTCTCTCTCTCTTTTTTTTTCTTTTTCTTTTATTTATTTTTGCATTTTTCCACAAACATTTACTTTACATATCCAAGAACTTTTGATCATACTCCATTGTTCTTGACAGTTAATAAACAACTTTCAAAATTTCAAGATACTGAATTTTAAAGATAATGTTCAAAATATTTCTTATAATCTTGTGTAATTTTGTTTGTGACTCTTTAACAACAGAGACAGTACGGTTTTAAATATTTTTGAGAAAATATTTACATGTCAAGTATTCAAATTGCTGAAAAGGAAACACCCAGCACACAGTTCACACATAGACCTTCTCAGTTCAGCCCTGCCTACCAAGTATTCTGTGATATGCCATCTGCCAGCAAAGATCGGTCTCTTTTTCTTCCTTCAGTGTCATTCTCAAGATAATCCTCTGGTGTGGTTGCTCTTTTGTAATCTCTACTGATTACAATGCTGAGCTGGAAAAGCCCTGGTTACTTTATGTTACAAATTCTTTCATATGTTTTTTCTAATCCTCTCTGCCAGGCAGAACTATTTATGGTGTCAGGCTATCTTTCTAAGAGCTT